TGTATAGCGAATTTCGCGAAATCTGCGGAATGCGATTTCCCTCCTGACGAACTTAATTTTAAATCGGGACTCAACTCTTTATGCCAACGTAGCGAAAATATATTTGAATCGCTAACATATTTATAGACGTTCCGCTGATTCATTAAATATTATTATCACCCGCTCGCACATTTCGGCGTTAAATATAGCGGCTTGATTCTACGTTTTATACGATGTGTCGCGGAATATGTTCAATGTAAATATGAAAATAGGATTAGAGGGCCGAGCGTCGTCTTTCGCCGCGACGCGGCGCGGCGGTGGGATCTAGATTTCTGTTCAAATACCGTATTTCACGTTCCTCTCTACGTTATAGTTTCCTCACAAAACATCCTTACAGGAAACGTTTTCATTGGTTCAGAAGACTCGACGTTTAATTAAGTTGAAAATTGAAAGCGCAGAGAGAATGTACCCACGCACACATGCATCAATTGTTTTCTCTCAAGGTCGTGACGGTGCGGTAAACCTGCACGTGTGTGCGCGTACACTCTCGTTATCCATTCACTTTTTCAATTATATGTACACGCTTATGTACGACTCGAGAAGAGGTGAGGGATGGATGTCGGAAGGATAAAGCGAGAAGCGAAGGGAGAGAGAGAGAGAGAGAGAGAGAAAAAGAGGGGGAAGAGACAGAATGACAAAGAGAAAAGGGGGATAAAATACATAATCCAATGAAACCCTAGGTGACTGGAGAACGCAACCGTTAAAACCACCCTCTACGAATCCCGTCCTGTTACTAGCTGATTACATGACAGTTACATATAGGTCAGAAAATGGAATTACAAAGCCTGCGCTGTTCAAGGACGCGCGAAACGTGTATTAAACGCCTCACATCGCCGTTTATTCAGAGGTGACCGTGGGTGATCCATGCTCGCGTATCTATGAATGAAACTATACATTTATTAAAGGGGCAAGATAAATTTGCCCTCTCTACGTTATTGTCAATATCGAACGCTTCCTGCAGTATAGTATTAGTAGCGTGTCACGACATTTTAAGAAATAAAATATCATGTGAAAGAAACAAAACGACAACAATAACAAGCTTGAAAAAATATTGATCCCTCGACACTTATCAGTTTATCTCTGTTTGACGATTTAGTTCAAGTACATGAATAAATATATATGAACAAATACGCGCGTTTTTTCTGTATGTTTCTTTAGCTTTCTTCTAGATTTTGTAGATAAATATGTCAATGGTAATGAATATATGTGTGTGCGTGAGTCGCATTAAAACATAAAATATTATTTTTATTCATCTACTTAAAATCTCTCGTTTAGCTTGAATATTTGTCTTCCTAGATAGCCGTAGAGCCAAGAAAAGAGAAAAACGTTATCTGAGATAGATTAGAAATTTAAAGTGCTATTTTTCACACGGAAAGTTCGAAGTGAAAAGCGGAGCGAGCTAAGCTAACTTCGTAGCCAGAATAGCTTTTTCCTTTAGCAAAAAGCTCTCGTCTCAGCGGCATTGTGGAGCAGCGCTGAGTGGGCGTACTCGCCGATGCCATCTCGAAAAATGTCGCCGTGCCATTTTAGCGTCATGGCAGTAGGTCAAGTTTTTAGAAAATCCGGATGTAACTACGGCTAGCTCGTTCGCGTAATCATCATCGCAGGAAAACGGACGATTCACCGCGCCTAGCCCCCTGCCGCGAAACTTCAACGAAGTTTTCCTCCTAATAGACGTACTGTATACCGGAAACCGGACGCGCGCCGATAAACTTCGAGAATTTGAAACTTTATAATCCAAGATGGGCGATACTTGAACCCGATTACTCGTATTATATTTCCGCACAAGTTGCCACGAAGAGAATTAACTCCTAAAATTCTTGATTGTTTCAAGAGCCTATATATATTCTTGGAAAATATTCATTCAAAATTGAATAACATTCGAACGCCATTGTAATAAATCTGACTGCGGTTAATATTTATATTTATGCCATTAATATTTACTCTGAGAGAATACCGTGTTTTATCTATCAATATTTTTAATCGATAAGTACTTGTAAATATTCGACAAACGGCGGAAATAATATTATAATAATCTTCTCGCTAGTCATTTTTTTAGCGTTTTCTTTTTTAAGAGTTTAGAAAAAAAATTATATTTGTAGAAAATATATCTTTTTGTAAGATCCTCTCTCCATGAGTTCTTCCCTCATCAATCACTTCCTGTGTCATCTGCTCTCTTAGTGTATTGCCGCTCATCTTCTTCTGCACATCTTCCTCTTTTGTAAGAAGTTGACACTCCCTTCTGCCATCGATGCTTCACTTATATAGTACATCGTTATTTAACTTTGTTTTCCAGCGGATCAGATTTTAATTGCGGCCGAGGCGCGCGCGGTTGGATTAAAACAAAAGAATCTCCCCACGAAGACCGCTGACGTCATCCCAGCAATTTTCAAGATAATTATACGAAACAATAAAGGTGTCGGTCTACCGAACGTGCCTGAAGTTATGTCCCTCTCTTTCTGTACTTTCTCAATCGATAGCACGATATAATTTAAAACTAACTCGATCTTCGAAAGGACGGAATATAATGAGCAGAGTTATTATCGTTACAATGAAAGGGAACAATTGAGAGAAACGTAATATAAACTGTAGCCGTCGTAATTTTTCAAACAAGAGACTTTTCTTTTACATCATTTATAAGAGCATTCTCATTAAGGATGAAAAGAAATAATGTCGACAATACTACGAAAGGGCATATTAACGCTCTACGACATCGTCCTAATTTCCCGGTGAAACTTCCAAGCAACTTTAGTAATGCAGCATGCACCCGCGAGGAAACACAGATATCCGATTATCATACATCCACCTAATTCAGGTTACCCCTCTCTTCGTGACCCGTCAATGGTAGCTACCTCCTCAGCGCTCGCATTGTCTTCCTCTAGAAGCACGGTGCGATCGATAAATCCCAACGATGCCGGACTATAGACATTCCGCTAAACTCAGCGCTCTCCCGCTTTGCACCGTCGCGTCGGCGTCGCCCCGCTTCTTCGAGGCGAAGAAGACTTTCGCGGCGATACGGCGAACCCTTTTTCGGGATCAAGTAGATGGGTTCGTTTGAAGTTCGCTAGGGAAAAATCCGAGATTTTTTGCGCCGGGGTGTCCGACCCCCGATCCCGTTCATCCTCTCTTTCTCTCCCTCTTCCTCTTCTGGTTGTTGTACGGTTTCGCCGTACGGAAACTGCCCGACACGATAGACTCTCGGCAATGGCACCCTTGCCCTTGACTGCAGGGTGCGAGAACGCTTGTCTGAGGGGTTTGTTGGTTCTCTCTCTCTCTCTTTCTCTCCCCCGTCACCTTCCCTCTTCTTCCTTTCTTTCTCTCTTTCTCTTCCGGCAGACAGGTCGGGCGCAAAAAAGAAAATGACGAGCGAAAAGGGGTAAAAGAGGAACGACGCAGACGAGACGCATGTCGTCCTGCCTCCGCAGCTTTCACTCTCTCGCTCTCTTCAACGCAATGTGCGTCCGTCCGTCCGTCCGTCCGTATATGTACGCATCGCATAGTTGCACGGCGTCGTCTCTCTACGTGCCGACGTAAAGTGAGTAGAACGCGTCGAGTGGAGGGTGCAGAGAGTGTGCTCCGACGGTGCGTCGAGTGATCGTTCGGGGTTGGTTGGGTTTTAGTTGTTCGATTGGTCTCCCGGTCCTACCGTAAAGAGGCTCATTCATGCAAAGATCGCTGCTGTGTCACGACATAGCAGTATTTCGCGAGCAGCGTTTCGCGTAACGGAAAATCGGTTAAAATGAACACACGCGCTCTGCATATTTGTACAGAATCCATCGTTTGTCTTGTTAATATTGCCGGTTGCCGCAAACACTACAAATGAATTTGCGATAGGATTAAAATTTTGCAGAACGCTCTGAATGGCACTAGGAAACATTTTCACGTAGATTCCGTACTCGGTTTCGCGCGCTAATTGCTCTTCAATTTCAATGGCATCGTTATATCGCACGTTTACGCGGGTTCATATCGGGGCGATCGACCTCGAGTGCACTCTCGATGTAATAGACGTAGACCCGAAGCGACGTAATCAAACGGTGCATTAAATGCAACGTTACGACTGAAGATCGATGCGGGGAAATATATGTATATACATATATATAGAGGTTGTGCGATCACGAACGTTGCGCTACGTCACATAAAGAAGTAAGACGGAGTGGACACCGCGCGCTATATTTTATCGCTATGCAACGTATAATTGGAATCTACAAGTCGATAGCGGAAAACAAACTGGAGCGATACATCGTAAAATAATCGTTTTTTTCCTAATTTCTCCATAAAGTCATTGAGACTCGTATTCGTTTTCGTTATTGTCACGTTATCGCGTAATAATACAAAATCTGTGGCAGCCAGCCAAGTTTACGTCGCTTTACGTTCTCTGTCGAATTACTTGAAGAGAATCTACAATTCAAAGCCTACTCTATTCTATTTTAAAACGCGTAAAGTTGAGTAACACGTGCAAATTTCCATGTGTTGTCCTATTTTCTCTATACGACTATATTGACGCGCATTTATAATGGTAAGCGATTAATTTGCATCAATTAATTGTTGCGTTGTTAATGAATCTATTATACGTTTATCCATCTATTAAAATCATTACTAGTATTTTGCGTTGCTCTTTTTCTAAGCAGTTGAAGTTAAAAATCGCTCAATTAATCATTAATGTCACGATGTGCCAAATTCGAGTTTTGAGGATTTGAGGATAAGGCTGATAGTGAGCTTTTAGTGGGAGTGTAACAGCTGTCGTAAAATATTTCGTGGAATTGTTAACGCATTCTCAGCCGTTGTAAACGCGAAAGAGAGCGGAGCTCTCAGCAATTACGTAAAGACTTCAAGGGATTTTCTACGTTTCTGGCTTAACGGATGTTAACACGCGGATCGCTACTTTCGCGGATATTGCACGCTCGTTGTACAATGTACATCGTCTCGAATGCACGTATAGCTTAGGAAGATATGAGACATACCTTTCAGATGTTCCGGGGTGTCCGCCGCGCCGGCTCGCATAATGTCGCTCAGATAGTGTTCCAAAGTCCTCATGTTGTCTAACGGTGAGTTTCCATTAGCCGTCATACGATCCTGGAAAATATCGAGGAGACACCATGAATCTCATATTCATAATGGATCCTATAACTCAGTTGTTGCATTATGTTTTAAACAAACTATTTCTTGAATATTGATACTCGAAGTAATTTTAAGCAAGTGTCAGATAGTTAAAAAGATACGATGTCATAAAGTTATTACAGTTCGTAAAATACGAGTAGCTTTTGCAGTTATGTATCTTGGATACGTGACATTCAAGTAAAATCATGTTCTTCTCACGTCTACAAATCTTAATTTCGAAATGCGCTAATGGCGAAATGTTTGCCTACTTCACTTAATTTCGCGCGGACGATACTCGCGGGCCTCCATTACGACGATTGTCTCAGCGAGACAAAAACTGAGGATGTTCTCGCTATGATATACAAAAAGTGGCGCATAAAACTCCATGAATTTTGGATTTTTCAATTTCCGCCGCGAGCCATTTCAAGAGATAAGGTGCTTACTTCTGGTTAGGAAAAAGCTTTCTAGCGGTGAGCGAATGTACTGGATGGAATACCGCGTAAACCAGCAAGCGCACCCGGGGGGAGGAGGACAAGTGAAGCGGAGAACTTGAAAAACGATAAGAGGAGTAACGTTCTCCCGCGGCGGTGGGAAGGAAGTATCTGCCAGAAAGAAGCATGCCACCCGCGAGCGGCAGGAAAGAAAGTGCAGGGATAAAAGACGGGCTAGAGAAAGGCCTGTAATAGGCCACTTGTAACGAATCGGGGGTGTGCAGTTAAAGCGGGGGCTTATATTCAAAAGTCCACCCCGCCGTCACGCCACACCCTTAATGCACATCCGTTTTCTTTCCTTTATTTCGGCTATCGCGCGGCCGAAATGCCATGTTCCCGACGAAAGTTTGATAAAGCCCGACGCGGCCTCTATTTTTTATTTCTAACGTCACGCCACGGAATTGTCGACTTCCTTGCGTGGAAAGTTCGACAAAAAAAGGTCGGACCCCGAAAATTTATCTCTACAATTAGATCAATATGTCATATCCAGCATCGTTTGTAAATCTTGATCGATATACGCGCATTATGCAGAGATTCAAGTGAATCTCGACTTGCTAAGGATACATTTAATTTAACCATTCGCATCGATAGCGATTTTCTACAAACGCTACCAAACAATGAAAGATTATATTTTGTGTGTATTTACACAAAATAATACATCAAAAAATAGAAACTTTTACGTTAAGTATTATAGTATTATAGCCTGAGCCGTGAATGATTAAATCATATTGAGATACAGTATAAAAATTTTATTTTCCATGTTTCTGGAAAAGTGTTTATCAAGAATAATCCGAGCGAGTACATCTTCCTTTTCGCAGCGATTTCTTTGTCCTGATTTCTTCTCGTGCATGTAGTGTCTCGTAAGGGAAGCAGACAAGGAGTTATGGGAAAAAGAAATGGGTAAGACATGATAACGGAGGAGAACCGAGAACCTTTGAAGGTGACCAATTGAGAAGAACGGCCAATGTAACGAAAAATAACGGGCGGTGGCACGGTGCAGGAGAAATGTCTATTCGCGCAAATAAATGCTTCCCCTTTGGAGCATCGCCGAGTGGACGGAACATCTCGGAATGTCTGGCAGCTATAAATGTTTCATATTTCTACACGTCTGCCCTTAGAAAACGTCTATGAAACAATCTACGAGCTATGCGTGAAGCTAAAAAATAAATAATATGCGAATTTTCGATCGCGCAAGATTAGAAAGATCTCAAAAAAGATCGACTCTCCAAACTTGTCGGAGGATATTTCTGTTCCTGAATTATACTTCAGGCACGCCTCGGATAATTTGTATAAACATACAATATCTCATCGCGCATTAGTGCCACCGCTATATAATGAATCGTAAATCATGCGCGTAATAGTGTTATTTGATACGAGGTATAAATAAATCTCTCGCAGTATGTGATAATCCTCACGCGTCTCACCCATCCTGGACCAATATTGAAATTTACGCCAACGCGGAGCGGAGTGCGGCCTTCGCCGTCGTCGTCCTGAAAGGAAACGGCCGTGACACTTATTTGGTCAAACGCGGCGGAGCACGGCAGGGAGGAGGGAGAAGGGAGAGACGGATATACCCAGGTATATATATCGTACGAATGGAGCGGAGAGGAACGAAAGGGGTGGACCCCCTGATGTCGAATAATCGTGCCCATCTTTCCACGCCGGCATGGCCGGCATGGAGGTGCAAAAGGTGGCCCCACCTTCTCCTCGAACGCGTCCCCTTCGCGCCGCCCGTATAACCCCCTTGGTCCTGGTGTCTCTTCCTTCCTCGTGCTCGCGGGCCCCCCGGACCCCACCTGGGTACCAATCCGCTTCCCTCTCCCGGGCCGTTTCGCGCGCGCGTGCACGCACACGGGCGCACGCGCGCACCCACGCATCCACGAGCACTGGGCTCACGCGCGAACACACACACCTATACATGCACACAGAGGGGAAACGTTTCTCGGCTCCATTCCCGTCTCTCTCTAGCTCACGCGCGCGGTGGAAAATCAATATAGGGAAACCAGGAAGCAGCGGCAGGGCGTCGACAGCAACCTCCGTGCAGGCTCCGTCCCGGTACCACCCCTACTCGTCCCCGTTCTCTCGCGTTGTGCATCCCCTCTCCCCGTTAACCCTCTCGCGGTTCCGCTCCCCCGCTAATTCCGTTCCCCTTCCCTCCTCCCCCCCCCCTCCCTCCCAGTGCCCTATTCGGTTTTGCTTGGGCTACAGTACTCTTCTCTGTGTTCGTAATTTCCATTCGCATTGGTCGTTAGGGGTCTCTCCTATGAAGTCGTTCGCGCGACCGTCTATTGGCGATTATCAATACCATCTTGACCGTGACTACTGCTGCTATCTCGGCAACCACCCCTCCAGTAGGGCGACACTGCGCAAATTTTCCCCCACCGTCGTGAAGTGGGTAGGTATATGCGGGTCGGGACAAGGAAGAGGTAGGAAGACCGCCGTGGAATTGGGTGATCCCGGAAGGAGACGTGAGGAAAACACCGCCAGCATCGTATGTACACGTCGGGGAAACGCTGGTTCGCGTACCGCGACGGGTTGTACATCACGGAGATGTATCTTCGGAAGTGCAGCCGGCGATTCGTTATCCCATCTGCGCGCGAGAGGCGCGCAACACCTACATCGCATCCCTCCACCCTTCTCCCTTCCCCCCTCCCCCCGACCAAAACTCGCGAATGCACATCGTATCGACGAATATTCGCGCGCGCGGTATCCGGACGCGAGCGGGGGTGGGATCCACAACAAACCCCCTACGATCGAAGACACGCAGTACGCACACGCCATGCAACTCTCCTCCCGTGTGTGTCAGTTCCACGAGGATTCCATTCGACCCAGAACCCCACGCGCCTCCATGGATGTGAGGCGCGCGCGGTCGCGGTTGGCCCAGTTCCGAAGTTGGCGGCTCGTAAAAAGCAACGACATCTCCTCTCCTCCCCCCCTTCGCGACCTCCATATATATATATATATATATATATATATACACATATATAATACGTATGCGTTACGTTTGTGTGTGTGTTGTGTGTATGTACGTGCGCGCGCGCACGCTAATACTGTCGTTCCTCTCTGCTGACCCCCACGTTTGCGAATGACCCGTGGCCTGTCACGGGCACATCCCGACCTGGTCGGGGATTGAATTATGGCGAGCGGAGCAGAGGTGCTGAATGTAATCCAGGAGTGGTCCGGGAACACGGGTGTAAACGCACGTAAATTTTCTAGGGGCTGACACCGCGTGTCCATCCGTTTTGCGCAGTCTCCGCGAGAGCGAGGCGGCGTGACGTAATGTCCGCACGACCGGTACGACATTCCCGGCTTTACGGTTACGCTCGCGTCGCAGAAACGGGAGAAATTTTGTCGTCCGCGTCCTTTTAACACAGATATCATCCGATACTTTCGCGGGCGCACGTCTCGCAATACGCGGAGGGGTCTCTATCTTGAAAATGGCGTAAGTTCGCGAACGCGTATCTTCGTTGTTCAAACTCTATGTGTTTCGGTGGGGAATACGCGACTTTCGCCACGTGTCGCAGAATATAAAATTTTGTTGCCTGTATATGACCACCTTTACGGAAAATGACATATATGCATTAGCAAATAAAGCGGCACACCGAAATGATATCCACGCACGAAAACCGCGGGCTTGATGACCCATCAAATGTTCATTAGGATACACTTAGAGCGTATTAGACTCTTACCCCAAGATAAACATGCGATTAATTACGCGATAAATAAATCTATAAGGCGATTTACGAAGGGGGATATAGGAAAATAACACTCGGAAGTCAGTCGGACGGCGATTAATTTCACGGAGGGCAAATAAAGGGCCGGGAGGACTTAGGCGGGGAGCTGAAAGGGGAGAAACGTAAAAAAGGGGAGAAAACGCACGAGGCGAGGACGGGGTGTGTATTCAGGTGTACGTATATACTATATGCAGACGCCTTCAAGTTCCGCGCGTTTTTCGTCGTGCACCCGTTCAGTCTAGACAGGAATGGTCCCATTCCACCGAGACTATCTTCGCCACCTTTTGTACGGTCCCCCTTTTCTTTCGCGCGGCACGACGTGTTTGTATTCCACCCTCGCGACGCTCATCCGCGCTATTTTACATGCGTTTTACACACGCGCGCGCGTCCCGCATTTCGGCCGCGGGGGAGAGGGAGGGTGGTCGCGTCCTCATTGTGATAGTCGGAATATCCATTATCCAAAGGAGCCGAACGCGACGAGTAATTATTATGTCGGACGCGACACCGTCGTCGTTGCAAAAGGGGGTGGTCGGGCGTAAGGGGTGGGAAAGGAGGGAGAAATAATAACGCGAAAGCGAGAATGTATTACATCGCGCGCGGGGAGGGATGAAACGAAGAATTCAGGCTGCGAGGCACAATATACCGTTGGTGTCTGTTGCGGTACATTACGATTGTATTCTGTCCCCGGGTGTCTTATTCACATATCCGGTATATGATACCGAAATAGAAGTTACTTTATTACGTCATGCAT